AATGATCGTAAGACACCCCCAGTTCTACGCTGACGGGTTTTGTAACCAAATAAACATTGTACAGAACAAACCCGCGTTCGCTTCCGGTTGACTGTATTATCTCACGAACTGCTGCTATACAAGGCTTGCGTATGAATTTTTTTATCGTACGCTTGCATGTCTTTCGTGCTCGTTCTCCAAAAACTCGTGAAGAAAGTTTAAGTGTTGCAAAATATATTCATCCGCACTACAACCGGTGATATCAAAGAAATTTGGGTCTGCACAGCAATTGCAGGCTCAAGATGTTGTCCGACAGGAGATGGCTGGGCAGGCGACATTGAACTCTCGGGACACGGTTGCTTGGGTAGGTATCTGTTGTTGTAGGTTCCTGTCTCATAGCGAGGAGGGGAGTGGTCTGTCACCACTGTGACGTAAGTTACGAGGGGACGGTCCAACGTGGGCTAGAGCAGTGCGAGCAACTGAGAGCTGTGCGCTATCAATATGGGGTGATTATTTCGGAAAACACTAGACACACACGTAGCGCTAATATAAGAAAGGCCGTGATTCGTCCTCGTTTATGAGGACTGCGATGTATCGCGTAGAGCCGGGTACACCCAGTGCCGTTCTCATCGCTCCTAGGACGGAAGAACTCAGTCGACGGCTGTCGATGTCATCGTTCGCATGCAGGACCTCGACGGCTCATTACTGGCAATCCCCTCATTTTGTTAATGCACGCAAACTATGCTTAGGTAGCTTCTGTAAAACTCGTGTCAAACTTGTGCTTGAATAAGCTTTATTAGGTCTACTAACTGAAACCTCTATAATCATAAAGGCAAGAAACTTGTGACGTTCATTGCGTATTACATTCAAAGAATTGTTTATATTAATAGGTTATAGCTTGTTAGTTTCAAATTATATAACATTTTAGATTTACGGTATACCAACACAAACAGACAAGTGAGCATCAATAGCTACTGTTTATTAATTGTAATTGAAATATGCTATTAGGACCACGTCTGTACAATACGATTTAAATCGGGATTTGGAAAGCTTAAACGAAAATTGGTAAAGCAAATATTAATGAAATTTAAATATTTAAAAAAAAATGGACGAAAAGTGTCCGCTGCGGGAACTGGAACCCGTATCTTCCGGGATACGAACCAAGATGCTCAAGCCCTGAATTAAATAGCTTATCTTCACACCTACGTAACATTAAGAAACATACACAGATATTTGATGCCACGGATGACGAGGTGATTACTGGTAATGGTGCCAACTGTGATTTGCTTGTGAATCAATTATTATACCATTAAGCAATTACATGTGTTTTAATAGTTGTTATTGTCACGAATGTACATATTTTTACTAGTGATTTTCTGTGTGTGAAAACACTACGAAAAATTATTATTACCTAAAGCGGAAAACATTTTTTTAGTACTTCGAACTAATCAAATAGAGATTGCAAAAATAAAACATATGCGCGCATGTAAGTCATCATATGTAAAATATTAATGTCTTAAAGCCAATGCTCTAAATAAAACGTTACACAATCCTGGGGGAATTTTTTGTGTTTGCTACTCGTCCCGTCCTCTGACTCGCCATGGTATCGTCCAGTATGTTGGCATACCACCAAAATAATTTTTTAAAGCTAAATGACTCCCATAAGAATTAAATGTTTTAGTTCGTTAGCATTTTAGTCAATGAATAAGTACATAATTTGGTGGTGATGTTTATACTTGTATATACCAGGAATAGTTCAAATTTTTTCGAATGTTCTACATTATGAAATTCTATTTCGTTTATTAGATAAAAGCGACCGATAACGGATTTATCGATTTCGAGATATGTAACTAATATTATACGTTATTTATCTCGCTACGGCGTTATATTCGTCAAGCACAGCCAAAATTATTGAGTAATGGATAAGATAATGTGATTTTTGCAACATATGTAAAACCTATTTATGCTAATTATTTTTTAATTTGTTGCCAAGCGAGCAGATGGTTCACCTGATGTTAAGTGAATACCGCCCCCCATGGATATCTGTTACACCCGAGGGTTCCAGATGCGTTGACAACCTTTTGAAAATTGGGCTCCGGCCACCTCACTCACCAAACGAAACGCGAAAGTATTATACTTCCACTTTCCGCCGGTCTTCTGCGAGGTCGTGGTACTTACCCGGACGAGCCTGCCCATTCGTGCTACAGCCGAGACTGTTACGTGGCTATACCACCGTTAATAGAAGTTATAAAACTGCACATTATAACTACGCATATATTTTTGAACATAGGCGGAGGCCTATGTTGAAAAGATAATATCACACCATATAATAAACCGATCGGTATTCGGGCGGTTCTGAAACCAGAAGACCCCGTTTCGAGTCCAGATAATATTTTTGTCTTTTTTTTGTTTTTTCCAGTCCAGATGATTTTTGTCCTTTTTTCAAGTTGCTTCTTTGATAAGAAAAAAAAATACAAGTAAAGCTCGCTCATGCAGGTACTTATTACATAAACACAATTACGAATAATACCAACTATACTAGAGTCCAAAAAAACACAAGCACATTGATTAAAAAGTTCTAGATTTATAAATTGCTTCAATGTTTTGATCTTCAGTAACAACAATATTATTTTCTTCGCAAAAAATCAGAATTTGAAAAATTCATGTGTTCATAAACAGTAACGATTAACTATGAAATATATCGTAGCTTAAATAACAAAAAAATATTACTATTTACCCGCTCATTACAAAAAAAATTAAATGTAACGTTTTTATTAAAAACAAAGAAAAAATTTCATTCAATCTTAAAGTAAAGCTTTAACTTATTGTAACGTATTATGGGCAGGGCACATAGCTCGAAGAACCAATGGCCGTTGGGGAGAAAAGTTTCTCGAATGGAGACCACGTGACGGCAAGCGCAGCGTAGGAAGGCCTCCCACAGGGTGGACGGACGACCTAGCCAAGATCGCAGGGACGCGTTGGATGCAGGCCGCTAACGACCGGTCGAAGTGGAAGTCAATGGGGGAGGCCTATATTCAGCATTGGACGTCCTACGGCTGATATGATCATGATGATGATGATATTGTAAACTATAGATAAAAATCAAGTTTTAATTGCTAGGAGCTATTTAAAAATACAAATTTTAAAGCCTGAAATAGGGAACCTGGTTTGAACACAATCAATTCTTAGCTTTCATTTTCCTTGTTGATAAATTCATTATGGTTCACGTAGGTAATTCAAAATTCACATTAATTATTCGAGTTAGTCAATTTATAGAAAAAATAAAAGAAATGGTATTTAAACAATTTATTGATATGTTATTTACAATTACTATAAATATGTTTTTTTAAACATAAATCCTGCATATTTACAATACCATTTTCCTAAATTTAATTTAAGCAAATATGCGTAAGTTGTAAATAATTGAATCCAAAATTATACGTATCCTCCACTCACAATTTAAATCAAATATAAAAGAAACGAATTAAGCTGGAAAGACAAACTAACGTAATATTTTTCTACTTATTTTACTGCTTTTATGAGTCTTTACATACAAGAAGGTTAATGATAAATTCAATTACAACTAATTAGTACTTCTTGACGTGTTTCATTAAATAATCTAAAAGATCTAAACAGATTTTGTCGATGGAAATGGGACTTATAAATTATCTGAGACCGGTAGTAAGGAGAAATCCTGAGTAGGAGTAAATAGCAAAGGCAAATTTGTGTTTCTGATAAAGTTTACATTTTCTTAAATTTTCGGCGTTTCTGATTTTATTATTTAGCGTAATAACGATGGACCATTAAATTATGAAAAGTAAGAACGAACATTTACAAACTATACAGCTTTGGTTCAACTGCGACATTAAATGAACACACTTCTAACTTTACTTGCCAATAATCATAAAAAAAAATTTCAAAGAAACTAATTAAATATAAAAGAAACAACATTTGTTACATCCTATAAAACTACAACTGATCATTCATAATGTTTACGTTACTCGACACGACAACGTCGCAATCGCATAGTACTCGTACCTACAAACCTTACAACGTGATTCATTCTTTCTTACAGCGTGTTTTGTCTCCTTTTAAATTCATTCACCCATTCATATGGTTTGTGACCTTTACTAATAAACTTCACGCTACAGTTTTATACATACAAGGTATCCTAGTGCTTAAACTGCCGAGCAATAAATCCCTTAACGCTGACCCCCACATTTAGAGTAATTTAAATATAAAGACACCTGTACACTAAAATAGGTTTTTCATCGTCAATATTGTGAATATTCTGACAATCCTTTAAATTATTTTAAAAAACGCAAGAATTGATTTACGTCTCTTATATCTAAAGTGTCATAGTGTAAATTTATTATTCTTCATATATATAAATATTTTACCTACTGTAAACTAACTTTTGAATTAGTAATTTAATTACTACAACAGCTATGCTTCATAAAAAGACAAATTGGACCTTTAAATGACTTTTAAATCTGAAAAAACAACAGAAGCCAGCAATTTAATTAAATTTTAATCTCTTAAACTTTTTAATAAATTTAAACATCTATGTATTTCAATATAATGCTTTATTCAAACATCTAAGTATCTGTTTGTGTCAGTGATAAACTTTGTATACGTAATTATATATATCATTAATAGGATAAAAATGGCTCCCAAATTTATGACATCATATCGAGTTTTTGATTTACTCGTAAGATTAAATACAATTATATTTGAAAGCATTTAAGTTTAACTTAATATTCATACTTTTCTATATCAATGTTACTTTCTCAAGCCCATTTTGACAATAAACAGATTCTACTTACTTAAAAATTCTATTTACAATTTTTATAACCCAATTTTCACGCACTAAAGTAAACTTAGTCGTACAGGTCTTTTTTAGATATAATAGACGTTGTATATAAACCACTACTATCAGTCACTTCATCTGTGCTCTCCGTTAATCAGGAAATGTCTATGTTCTCAACTTTATACAGGAACCTGCGCTGTCGCATGTCTCATGACTCTACATTAGGCGCCACCGTGACAGTGCTGCAGTTGGCACGAGTGGAGCGCGTTGAGCTTCGTTGCAAGCCGGCCCCGCCAACCCGATGCAACAGCACCAAATTGTCGCTTTTCCTCTTGCCGTGAAACTTGCAGAATAGGAGCTCCCTCATGCCCTTTCGAAAGTTCTTAGACAAGAACGCATACAGCAGGGGATTTACGCCGGAGTTGAAGTAAGTGATGAGGAACGTGAGCGGCGTCAGTAGCGCGCTGAAGTCGCTTGTGCCCTGGTACCCACTGGACCAATACTGCCACATTTTCCGCGCGTGGAAGGGCAGGTTGCACACAGCGAACGTCAGCACGACGACTATCAGCATCCTAACGACGCCACGACGTGCCCGTAACACGTTACGGGATAAATGACTGATATGGTAACAGCTGCGCGTCTCCTGTTTCTGTGAAGACACTCTCGTGCTCCCACTCTTGCACGTGGTCGCCGTTGTAGTTTTCTGTAGATCGAAAATATCTGCTGTTAAGCGACTTCTTATTGTGAATAATATAAGCCGGTTAAAATAATTATTTACATAAATCTCATTTTTATGTTATAACTTCTTCAAGGGTTTCATTTTAATTCCCGACGTTTCAATAGACATGGTCCCGTGTCTGCCTGGGAAAAGTCCCGTAACGGCAACCCTAGGGGTGTTGCAAATGTCCACGGGCGGCGGTCCACTACTTAACATTAGGTGAACCATAATCGCTTGCCACCTTCTCACATAACAAACATAAAATTATGTATGCTGCAAAGCATTCGAACCATCGTGTGTTAAAATTAAAATTAAACGCAATAAATCCGTAATAACAGTTTAATTTCGATTTTCTTTTAAGTGCAGTTGTTCGCGTAAATATAATAAAAAAAATTATAAACTTATTCTCGCCTTTAATTCAATATACTCTAGTAACCTGAGTTCGATCCCCGGTGCCAGCACCAATGAAATTGTTAATTTTAAGTACCGAATTATCACGTGCTCAGCGGTGAAGGAAAACATACCCTCTGTACAGAGGAGGCCTTTGCCCAGCAGTGGGACATGTATAGGCTAATACTTTACTTACTTTCTAAAGGAGATAATTTTTCTCTTTTCATTAATTCGATTATAAGAATGGGAAATTTAAAGAAAATTGATATCAAAGAATTTTGTCTATGTATTACTTTTTCTTTGAAATAAAAGCGAAAAATATGAATCACTTTCATTGCGAGCTTGTCACAACATGGGACGTAGAATAAAGTCCATTGAGAAGTCGATGGATAGAGCGGTCAGTTGGAGCGTAAGTGTCCATTAAGAAAATCTAAATGGCATCATATTACGACCCTATTAACGTCCGTTCCGTTTCTTTTTTAATCCAATTCAATTTTCATTTACTACTTGAATAGATTCCTTACGGATACCATTTGCTGTAACTCACTACCTCAGTTTCCACTCTGTTTCGTTGATGAAAGCACTTTAATTACTTGTATCTCATGGTAATGACTGCGTGCTATACCTGAGCGCCGCAACACTGCGTGTGTCCCATCTGTTGAAGGCCATGTGAACTCCGCCACAGGCCTACTGCAATTCTCGTATACAGAACCTGTATTAGTTTAAAATATTTTATTTTTCTACATCGCCTATGCTTTAAATCAAAGCAATCTGCAACTGGTTAGCTGTTCAAAGGACGATTAACAATAAAGTTTTATTATATTTTCAAACATTTAAAGATTGATATTATTGATTGAATATTTATTAAACTGTATTTATCTAAAGTAAAGTTAAATTGTACTTATGTGGAAAGAAGTATTCTTTCACACTACGAACCGATTCAAATGTTTATAAATACTAGTGAGAAATAAGTTCCTTATGCAAATCACCATCGTTGCTATAGATTCAGTGTTCATGTACCTTAGTTACTTTTCAAGCGGTGAGTGTGAATGTTTCACAATATAAAAATATTAAATTTAGAATAATCAGTACTTACAGTCATTACGCAGAGTGGGATCACGTAGAGCAAGCCGAAGTTCACCATGTCGAATACCTCCGAGTTATATTTCATTCGATGCTGAATACATATCGTTTCCATATTACCATCTCCGAGGTTGTTTGTTATTGTTTCGACCCAAATGAATTTCGGAGCACTGTATGCAGCACTTGTTATCCATACTCCAAGTATAACTAACTGCAATAATAAAATTACAAAATAATAGTTTTAATTATATAAGAAAATAATAATTCTTATACAAATTAATCTGCAAGCTGAAAAGTTCTGGTTATGATTAGAAGAACTATTACTATTTACAGTGTAAACCTGCTTTTAGTATAAACTAATATTTCTTACCCTTAATCTAGTAGCAGTCAAAATTTGTTTGCAGGTAATAGGATGAATAATAGCAAAGTACCTCTCTGTACAAATTACAACTAAAATAAATATTGATGCAGTATAACTCAAAGAGTGGACAAATTGGTACATCTTACATAAAAAATCTCCAAAAACCCAGCTGAAACAAAACATTCATATCAGTAAGTTTCATTATTTTTTTATGATATAGGTACTTTCCGAATAAAATTAATTTCTGAAAATGTAAAATTCAATACAATAATAATAAAATAGATTTTTGATAAACTCCAAATGAAATAATGATCATCAAACATGTGAAATAAGCAAACAAATAATAGAATAAAAACTACGCATGTCTTCATCTCTTCTGAACATTTAAAAAAATAAAATAGACTTGTGATCCAAGCTGATCCTTTTCATCCTTATTTATTATAAAGTACTAATTTTACTAAAAGAAATTTATAGAAAAAATAATTAGGTAATAGTTTCATGGAAGTGAACAGCGACGACGAGACGCAATCCTGTCCATCGACAGCCACGACCACTCTGCCAAGAGTGTCCGATTAAGAAGACTAGTTTCATATATGTTTGGTTTATTTCACAATTCGCTCAGTGTAAGTTTCGAAAAATAACAAAACAAATATCTCTCTGAAATGATAATCATTCTATAAAGAAAAAATAAATAATAACTAACTCCGTAAATAAGAGTTAACTATGTGGTATATAATTCAGACGAAATTAAATTTTTTTTGAACAGAAAGTTGTTAAAACTTTTATTGAAATCTTTCTCAATGTGTAATTTAAATTAACTTACCTCGGTATAAGGTATATTGTTAAATTTTGAAAGACACAAAACACGCCAACACATAAGTCGGCTACTGCCAGGTTAGCCAAGAAAAAGTTTGTTATTGACCTCAAACGCCTCGATAGGGTGACAACTAGAATGACTAGAAGGTTCCCTAAAAATAATCATTCAGTTAATAAGGTAAATATAAAATCTAAAATTGTAACTTTCGGAAATTCTTATAATACTTAGAAGCTACAAACGAATTGTTTTTCAAAGTAATATAAATATCATCATCATCACCATCAATATAGAATAGTAAATGTTTAGATATTCTAAGCATCTAAACTAAAGAATGGATGGAGCAGAACAGCTTTTGTACTCGTAGTACACAAAGAAGCAGAGTTATTTATTTTTTTAAGGTTTTCCTGTTATATCAGGCTACTGCGAATCTTTTCGTCAAATCAAATAAAATTATTTATTCATCGAAGTAAGAAATTTAAATTTCATCTATTGATAGTAGTTTTTAAATCTATCACGTTTTCTATTTTGTAATGAGGTTCCTCTAATGGTGAAGAAACAGGCGAAAGAAACTCCATAGGTAGATCCTTTTAGTCACTTTTTTCCCTCGAACTATTATAATGTTATGCAGCTTATAATATTATAAACGTCTATCTTATCTAAAATAACCGCCTATTTTAATTCATTACAAAAGTGTACTATCGTAAAAATAAAAATCCAATATTCATCCTAAAATAAAAATCAAAGCATCAAGTACTGACAAAAACAGAGACTAGCCGATTTGGATAAAAGAGAATACAGGTATATAGCAATTTATTTATTTAATAAAAAAAATATTTAATGAACATCGTAATTTTTGTACTAACCGAAAAAACAGCAACAAAATACAATAGTGTACAATGTTATAAATATAGCCCGAACATCTGTTCGGTCGAAGATGTATTCATCGTTTAAAAATGCTTGACTTTCGTTTTTGTTCAGATTAAACGAATCATCTACAATGTCCAAATTTTCCGTCGCGTTCTCGATCTCCCAAATATTGCCATTTATCTTCGAAGCAAGGAAGTGGTTCATGCCATTCATAATGAACATTGGAATTTTCAACTAATCAATGTGATTAGACAAACACCGTCCATCTCCTGCAATTAAGTAATTTAAATAAATATTAGCTATTTAGAAATTTAAATTGTTTATAGTGCTAACCTTTGCACTTAAGATTTGACATTAAAATGTGTAGCAAAAGTACGAAAAGATTGACGCCGCTAAAGTTTAATTAGAAACACATTTTGAAACGCCATTAGCATAGTAGTAGTATTCCTTCCATGCCATCCTATTAGGAAAAGTTATAGGAATAAATCGTTCTAGTAAATCCAACTACTTTAAATGTAAGTATACCTGGAGGACCGGTTATTGCTCGGTTTTTTTTTTTGCTAAATCGTGTATTTTGGAAATTAAAAAAGTAAAAAATAAAGAAAGCAATTATGTAAAAAACTGCTGGTATGTAAAAAAAGTAAAAAAAATAAGTGTGTAAATGATCGTGACACGAACCGCGGCCTTGTGTTTTGGGGCCGCCCGATTACCGACCGAGCTATTAAAACATTTTTTTGGCGAAATTTACCGTTATATTCTAATTATATTGTTTATTCCCTGAAAACAGGGATAAAAGGATATTTTCTAAAAATGAAACCTAGCTAGATTTTTCGCCCCCGAATCTGAATAAAACACTAAATTTCACGAAAATCGCTGGAGTCGTTTCCGAGATTCCGATTATCTAATTTATAAAATTCTCGTGTCACGGTGTTTGTAATTGAACTCCTCCGAAACGGCTCGACCGATTTTCGTATATATATATATCTTGTATATATATATATATATACAAGAATTGCTCGTTTAAAGGTATTACATAAAGGACCGAAGTTTTACATTTAAGCCCAATATCTAACGAAAACAAATAATACTGGAGCATTAAAAAGCTAGTAAAGGTGACAACTATTTTGAAAGAGATTCTGATTGAAACTGACTAAAATCTAACACAGTTAGCTGGGTGTGACCAGTTTATTTAAGTACTACCTGTTGCACTCGACTACGTCCGCACGGAATAGGGTGAAAGATAATGAATTCAAACAGGTACAGACAGATATCTATACATATAATAAAAATATAACTTGTCTTTGTCTGTACATGAAAGACATTTGAGAAAAGCTATTATTAAAGGTCCACCTTTATCAACGCAATAGAACCCAAAACAATGGTTGTAAAAATTGTTGTCTGTGTGTGCTTTTGTGCGCGCTAATCTCAGAAACGGCTTAACCGATTTAGGTGGACTTTACAGACTTTAACTAATGCGTTGTAATACTTCACTTACATTTAGTGTTAGTTTTATTCAAATCAGTTCATAAATAAAAAAGTTATAGCAACTTAAAAAAAGTAATAGCTACATCTGAATTGGATGAAACTATAGTTAACTATAATTATACTAAAATGATGTGTAAAATGACGATGTTTGTTAGATTATATAAATTTAAAAACCAGCCAAGTGCAAATCGCAATCGTGCACGAAGGTTTCCATACCATAATCTATAAAAACGGCAAAAAAAATTATGTCTGTTGTTCATACAACCTCACTTGAAAAATGGTTCATGAGAACCCCACTTAAAAAAATATTCTGAAGAAAAGTTACGTTTATATTAAGTTGAAAATGGAATCCATATGCAGAAGGCCACTTGCAGTAAGCGAACTTAAAAACTCAACCGGTTAATTTGTGGCTTGGTCATTGCTTGCAGTGAGCATATGGCGTTCACATAACGAAGAATTATCCTGATATCATCAGGAAAATTCTTGGTTATGTTAACACTTGAAAGTTCCTCAAATACTGAACTTATCAGTTTGTTTTCGGAGAAAACGACTGTACCTAGTATGTCCGGAAGACACACCCCCCTTTTTTCTCTGAAAGGATATCCTTTCTGCCTTCTTAAATTTTAACAGAAAATCGGAAAATTCTTGGGCAAGTAGACGGAGTCCGTACGTTAACTGTAAAGCGTAATTTGTGTTTTTGAGGCCAGAGATAAGAAAGCTTCTGTGAGGCATTTATTTCTTCGCTTTAGTCCCCTGAGTAATGAAAGGAAAGGTTTTGAAAATCTCCAGAGAAAACAACTGTGAATTTCCCCATTGGCCTTTCATCTCGGTGTATGTAATGTAGTGTTCTGTCAACGGCCTTTATGGATGCTCAGTCAAAATTCACCCTCAGTTTACTTTTTTACTTTACTTTAATGTCCATTGTCTAAAACCTATAACTAACTCTAAATGTGCGAGATAATGAATGGCGTCTACAGCGAAATGGATATCAGCACTAAGTCGTGTTTGATTTTCATGACATTGTTGAGATCCAATCGTTCTCATTCTTTTTAATTCTATCGAGGAATTTTTTGTAATAAATACTATAAAAAGTCGATACCGAATCTAATATTTTTTACGTTCAATTGTTGAGAAATAAGTAATATATAAATAATTATCTTAATTTCAAAATAAGTATCTTAATTACAAAAAAAATATCAGATACAATTTGTGAGTCAGTGACAAAAACAAACATAATTTCCAAACCACAAAGCAAAATAATATCCGAATATCCTAGCCTAACCAAATCTATATTCCTAAACAGTGTCAGATTTGTCCGTTGGTCGGCCTGGACTCATTAAAGATTAAGAGAAAAGACTCGCTGGAAGGCATAAAAAGTACATGATATTATGCAGCCGACGAATGGTACCTACTTATCAGGCCCGCTTGATTTGTTATAATTTTTATGGAATATCGCCAACGTAAAGAAGTCAGAGGCGAAAGGCGAGCAACGCTACTAAAAAAACCCACTAATTTGCAGCCCACATTTGGCCCGCCAAAGTACGCCTATGGAGAAATCCACCACTGTTCCTAACATTTCTTCTTCTTCTTCTTCGTGGTCTTCATTACAGAAGGTCGTGTCCGTCCTGAAAAATTTTAAGTCAATCGGCGACGAGCTGCTTCCCTTCCACACCACTCTATCTTCGGCTTTCTTCAAGGCAGTGGAAACAGGAAGCCGGTTATAAGCTTCACTTGATCAGACCACCGGGTAGGTGATCGCCCAGGTGGTCTTTTACCATCCACTTTCCCAACTAAAAGTACTTTTTCAAAATTATCCGGCTGCCTGCGGGCGATGTGACAATCGGTCCTAACATTTAAAAAGTAAAAAATAAAGTAACAGCCTTTAAATGTCTACTGCAGGGCGAGACCCCCACATTACAGAGGGTATCAAGGCATAGTCCACCACGCGGCCCCACTGCAGATTGGCGGACTTCACATACTTTCAATTTTTTTTTTTTTTCATTATTATTTCGAAAACATGCAGGTTTCCTCACGATGTTTTCCTTCACTGTTGAGCACGTGATACGAGTCAGCACTTACAATAAAAAATTTCATTGGTGCCGGCACCGGGGATCGAACTCAGGTTGCTCGAGTATATTGAATTAAAAGGGAGCGCCCGGACAATGAGCTAACTCACGGCCCAACAACTAACCAAATGGCATAGCAAAATCAAGAACATCCGTATACCGAGCAAAACTAAAATCGAACCTATCGTATATATCTCAATCGAAGAAATTCTATTTATATTATTTATTATTATTAAAATGCAAATGGTCGGCGCTTGTCCCACAGTTAGCTTGTGAAAATATGTATACAGCGCATTTTAGGAATTTAACAACGCCATCTACTTTTCACGGGAACTATATTCTTATCTTCTTATCGTAACTTACCTATGCTGGATTATAATTGTATCAATTGAAGATATTGTTAAATCAAACTTTTTTTTTATTATGAAACTGAAAATTCAAGTTATGGTGATTAAAATTTTATCACTGAGAGCACATTTTTTATGGAACGTAATTTTTTTTGTATTGGGAGCTATGTCATTTGAAAAAATTAAAAACTGTTCCAATTGATCCAGTAGCTAATAACGTATATATTCTGTTTAAGTAAACTAATTACGATCAAACGATACTTAAATATTACGTAACCAGTGAAAACTGCATCAAAATCCGATAAGTAGTTTTCAAGTTTATCGCTAACAGACAGAGAGACAGACAGACAGACACAGAAAACTCAAAAATGGTTTTTATCTTTCCCATAACACTTTTTATGATACCCTTTTTCATTCTTTCATAAATATATTCAATGTACAGACCCGCCGATTCTACTCTTTTATTATAGTAATTGATGTTTTTTCCGTGCGCTCCGTGTATTGTAACTCAATTACGCGATTTTATTCAAACAAAATAAAAAATTGTATAGTTTAGTAAGTTAGTTAATTGTTTTTGATGAAAGAAAATCCTGTTTTTATAGTCGAATGAAGTGTAAGATTGTATTTAATTTTTTCCGAAAAATATTGTAACTAAAGAAATGTGAGTAGTTCTTTCGTATATAGAAATTCTTACAAATATTTTACAATGTATTTGGAATGAAATAAGTCATCAACCTCTTTGAAATAACTAAATGTGTTTTTTTTTTCTACTTTAACGTTCAGTTTCCACAATGCTAGAAAAAATTCATTTCATGCTAACAGCAGTTGTTGTTCTTCCATTCGTTCCCTCATTTGTTCCTATCTTTTGATTTATTGCTGACATTAAATTCTTGATAGGTTTCTTGGTGCTTTCGATTAAATTAAAACAGTTTTATAGTAATTCAAAATAAAAAATAAAGCACTATATTTCACATTTTTATTAGATATATGTAGTTTTCTTTACTTTTTACTGATATTTTAGCTTTCTATCGTAGACTATAATATAAGCTTCGTCGAACGCAAGAGTCTTGAGATAGCCAGAAAAAAAAATGCAGACATAAATCCTAAAAGGGTTATTTTTATATTTACTCGCCTTTTACTATTCATTGTCCTTGCTACACAATTTAATTTGAAAATATGATAAAATCTAAAAAGCTATATTTTTTAAGATCGACTTTAAGCTAAGAATAACTTATTAACTTTTCTTGGATATTGTACTCGATTTGTGCAATGAAAAAAAATTTCTTACGACGATGTTTACAAATCGAGGTTTTTTTTCAATGAA